CTTTAGTCATAATTCCCATTGAAAATATCTGATATGTTGTTAAAATAGTGTGCTGGGAATGTAACCTTCTGCCAGAGAACGGTTAAGCACACTGGTAACACTGTTGTGTAGGAAACATGCAAATGGAAAGCAGCAACAAAGCAGTGTGAAACTGCACAGAAAAGAGAAACACAATGAAACAATAACGCTGTGAGCAAGCAAACATTTTCCTCTTTTATACACTGCAGTGGAGAAGGTTTGCTTCTAGTGCTCATTGCAAACAAAGTCACAGCTGTTCCAGGGAAGCGGCTCCAGATGTGCACTTAGGCAGAGTTGTATATGAGAAAATTACTCTGGTAGGAGAAAAAAAGCTATTTCTATAGGATTTTGTTCCATGACTTCATGACTTTTTTAGAATAACTCACTCATCTTGTAAAATGCAGCCTCCAGAGCTCTCAGGCTGTCACAGTCATCCTAAGGGTGAGTGTCTCACAGGCTTACAGCAACCTGAGTGATGAGTGGCTGCACAAAAATACTGGTTATGGATCTGAGAGCTTTTAGAGCAGGTTCGGAATCTTTCAGCAGCCTCGTTTGGCAGCTCTTCGTCTGTGAGAACAGCTGGTGGCTTGTCAGTCATTGAAGAGGCACATATGACTCCTATGTTAAAGCCAGGGTTTAGCACATCCAGCTAGCAAAGAACTGGAAATGGCAAATGGGTTGGTTCCAGAAGGAATTCAAAGAGTGAGAAAGATAAGCTTTAAAAAGACGGTTTGCTTTAATTAAGGTGCGTCAATAAATGGCTGCCCAAAAATGCATGGCAGGCTGGTGTATGAAGACAGAAAAGGCTACCTGTGTGACATACAAACTGTTTTACATTCTGTGGTAGAATGTGAAGGACTCAGACAAGCTCAGGCTGCTGGCAACATAAAGAAGTTAAAATGGATAGATTACACTGCAGTTGTGAGGGGAAAGGAAGTGTTTGAGGCCATGGAAGGAGTAGATGTGAATGAGATTGAACAATGTGGCAGAAATGAAGGGGAGCATACAAAGCCATTCAGCCTAGACAATGGTAATAAATATTCCACCCTTGGTGAGCGAGGACAATCAAGCTGAGAAAAGTGGCTACTGAAAACCCAAGACTGACAGTCAGCTGGACACAAGAGGCTGGGGACCCACTGCTGAAGGATGTGGTTCAAAATACCTGCATTTGTTTCAGATTTAGAGAAAAGAACAGTATATCACCTCTGGGGTGAAAAACAAGGCATGGGACAAACAGCATCCTGAGAAATGTTGGGAAATTCTCACTAATTGTCCTTTGTGTGGAAACAAATCATAAACTGGATATCTTCTAGGGCCAACAGTAAAACTTCTTTGGAGTCTCTTTAAATTATACATGACAATTGTCTAACACAAAAAAGTATTGCAGTCCTCATTCTCACTCAAAGATTAATTTATTACTGACATAAAAGATTGACTGTCGAATAGGTGCTAGTTATTATGATCTGACTGAAATATTTATTAGCAAAAAGAATACAATCCCAACTAGTAATATGTATATATACTTAGCATTTTAAACGGGCCAGTTTCCAAAAGGTAAATTAATTATGAGCAAAACTTATTGGGGACAAAAAACTTGAATAGAAATGTATGCATTAAAATAATTACTCATTTAAGAATGCTTTACTATATGTCCCAAAGTCCACAATTCTTTAGTCATGAGAAAAGGCTGTTTAGTTAAAAAGCAAACAAAAAACCCAAATACCCATAAAACCCTCCACTAGCTTAAGAAGGAATGTGAAACAGGCAAAACAAAACTGATGAATAAAAAAGGGGAAATTGTTAACAATAAATATAAATTAAAGTTAAGAAATGCAGGTAATTGATAAGAGAAGCTAAAGGTATTACCAAAAACTCTATGGTCAATATGGTTAAAATAATTTTTGTAATTTATTTATGTCCAGTGATGTAGGTTCCATTATTAGATGGAGTGCTAAAATAGTCAGTAATGATGCAGAAAAGGCAGAAGTGTTCAATAAATATTTATGTCCTGCATTTGGAATGAAGTTGAACTATGTAGTTATTTATTTATATAATTATGCTGAAACACTTTCTGTTTCAACAGTAACTAAGAAAGATGTTACACAAAATCTGCAAAACTGATAATTTGCACACACAAGTTTTAAAAGAGTTGGCTGAAGAGCTCTCCAAATTATTGATTTTAATTTGTACTAAATCTTGGAAACAGGGATAGTACCAGAGGACTGGAAGAAAGCCACTGTTGTGCTAATAGACAAAATTTTCAAATTGACCTACAGTAAGACGTAGGCTCTTAAATGCCAGAGTCACTTTTGGAAATTGTACTTTTGAAAACATTACCTTACATTTTATTGACTTTTCCAGTGCCTGTCACCCAAAGTGCTCAGTAAAGATAACAGAAGGACACATCACTAAAGCAGAAAACCAATGTAATAATAATCAAACCAAACAAGTGATGAGGATTGGGAGTGATCAGAGGAACAGCAGGAAAGTCAGGATAGCACAATGTGATGTACTCATTAGAGCAGCAAGGCAAGTCAGGTGAACTGGGTTCTAGTCTAGCCAGTGTCTAAATAGTGAGACAGGTGGCTAAGGGGCACACATTTTTAATACCATCTAGGGAAAACTTCTCGCTGATTGGCTGCCTGGCCCCATTTGTCTGCCTCCTGGGGAAGAGCAGCCAATCATGGCTGCTGCAGGAAGCAGGCAGCTCTCTCCCCCACCCCTCAGGAGTGGAGAGGAAGGAGCAGAAAGCCCAGCAACTCAGGGTAACAGGGAGATGATTCTGATTAGAGTACTAAGCTGCAGTCACAGCATGCTGGTGCACCAGCTTTGTAGGCAGGATGGCAGAGGAGTGCTGTAAGGTGGCATTTGAAGGAGGACAGTGTAAAAGCATTGCAGGTTTTTACAGAGAGCCCCTATGCATATGGGGTGGTGTGGGAGAAAGTGTGAAGGTATTTGCTGGGCTAAACAAGCCAAGCTCTTTTAATTTCCTTTTAATGATGGCAGAAGAGTGCTGTAAGGTGCCATTTGAAGGAGGACAGTGTAAAAGCATTGCAGGTTTTTACAGAGAGCCCCTGTGCATATGGGATGGTGTGGGAGAAAGTGTGAAAGTATTTGCTGGGCTAAACAAGCCAAGCTCTTTTAATTTCCTCTAAAATCATCTTTCCATTCCACTGATCATCCTAATAGCCCTTCTCCAAACCTCTTCCAGTTAACAATGTGATAATCAAGTGGCAGGACCAAAAGAGCCAGAACCAAGATTGCTGCTGAATCTTAAAAAAGGATCTTGCAGTCCTGTGCAATGTCAAGAAAGGGTTAACTGCAAAGTTTAACAACAGGAATAATATTGGAGACAAGAAAAAACTGTAATTCAAAGATAATGTCAAACTTACATAGCTGTATAACATCAAAGAGCTATGAATATCAAATGGCATCTGTCCCTAGTTCTGACAGTGAGAAACAGGAACAAATTCAGAGAAGAGCAACAACATTGGAAAAGGGGCTACAATTATAAGGACAGGTTCCTGATGTTCAAAAGTACTGGGCACCCTCAATTCCACTGAAAGTCAGTCAGCTGGATATGCACGTGGTTGATGCCTTAGAAAACCTGGTCGGCAGAGGAAAATATTTTGAAGAGTTTGCGGCCCCGATGAAGTCTTCTTCGGCTGAAGGTTCATATCCACAACGGGTCAATTCAGTTGGTAGTCTAGAAGTACTCTTGGATTCCTCGCAAATGTTGACCTCTCACATCACAACAGCTGTGAGTAATCTCTGTCCCATCCTGGCAGATGAAAACCTGGCCTCAGTTATTTGTGCCTCCATCGATGCTGGACTACAACAATGTGATATACCTGGGCATGAAACCTTCAGCTGTTTGGAAACTCCAACTAGTGCAAAACATTGCAGTGTGTCTCCTTAGCAACACAGGCTATCGCGAGCCTGTCCTCCTGCTCTACACTGTGACCTTCCCATAGAATTTCAAATCAAGTTCATGGTCTTGGTCCTTATCTTCAAAGCACTGCATGGTCAGGGCCCTAAAAGACCATCTAAAGCTCCATGACGAAGCCCAATAGTCAGCTACGTTCTTTTGGCACAGAGGAACACTCAACAATAAGAGTCAAGCTTATTTGTGCAGAAGACAGAATTTTCTCTGGGGCCAGTCCAAGACCGTGGAATGAACTCCCCCAGGAAGTAATGACCATTATAACCTCACCACATTCAAGCTCCAAGTGCAAGGCACATTACTTTGACCTTGCTTTCTCTAATATAAACATGTAGAGACAGGGATATTTAATAAATAAGAATTTTTTAAAAACAAAACACTTCACTTCATGTTTCTCCTTCTGGGGGAGGATGAGAGAACAAACAACATGTGACAGATGTGTAGTTGCACTGCTTAATGCACTGCTGGAAAGTGCATCATCAGATACTAGTGATGAGTGCAATATGAAGACCTATACAGAATAGAATAGACCTGCTAACTATCTGCAGACATCTGATGGGTGTAAACATCAAGGAAAGCGAGAAAGAGATGGAGAGACAGAGTGCATGGGCATCCAAAAGACCACAATCTAGGAGTTATTTCGAGGAACTTAGACAAAGGCCAATTTAAACTTGGATCTATTTGGCTGGGAAAGGACCTCCCAAATGGAGTGTTAGAAGATCCTGCAGAAGGCAGAAACTGTAGGACAGGGGTGGGCAAACTTTTTGGCCCGAGGGCCACATCGGGGTTGCGCAACTGTATGGAAGGGCAGGTAGGGAAGGCTGTGCCTCCCCAAACAGTCTGGCCCCCACTCCCATCCACCCCTTCCCACTTCCCGCCCCCCTCAGAACTCCTGCCCCATCCAACCCCCCCCTGCCTCTTGACCCCCTGCCCCTAACCACCCCCTGGGATCTCACCCCTATCCAACTCCCCCTGCTCTCCTTCCCCTGACTGCCTGCCCTGAACCTTTCCCCATCCAACCGCCCCCTGCTCCCTGTCCCCTGACTGTCCCTCATCCAACCCCCCCGCTTCCCGCCCCCTTAGCATGCTGGAGCCAGCCATGCCGCCGCACTGCCTGACAGGAACAGCGGGCCAGAGCGCTGGTGGGGCGGTGAGGTGAGGCTGCAGGGGAGGGGCGACAGCAGGGGAGGGGTCGGGGAATAGCCTCCCTGGCTGGGAGCTCAGAGGCTGGGCAGGATAGTCCCATGGGCCAGATGTGGCCTACGGGCCGTAGTTTGCCCGCCTCTGCTGTAGGACTTCACACTGCATAGGCAGAAATGGACCTGAAGGTCTAATTTCTTCCATGGTCTTTTTGCCACCGAAGTCAACCAGACAATAAATGAGGTAGCTACAGCACAACCGAGTCCTTCCTGGTAAACAGATGGTGCAAGAGGTCCCTTTCAATCTTACTTTCTATCAGCCTCAAAGAGAAATGGAGATGATAGAGGGTCTATATGTCTCTGAGTGGGCTTATAAAACAGGAAGGGCTTGAACAGGTGTCTTTCCTCTGTGGGGGTTTCTCCTAGCCTTTTGCCTTGTTTACTGCTTTGGGGAAAAGCCCATACCTCCCTGCACTCAGACATACTACCGTAGCAAGGCAGTTGTGCTAAAAAGTATTATACAAAATCAATGTACCCTCACAACACCCCTGTGAGGTAGGTAAGTATTATGAGCCCATTACTATAAATGGAGGAACCAGAAAAGTTATGTAATATGCCCAAGGCCATCCAGCTGAGCAGTGGCAGTGCTGGGATCCATGGTCAGGAGCTCCTTGCTTCCAGCATCATGGTCAAATCACTAGTCTGCTTCCATGGCTGTTCTTACATTCTACACAAAGAGTCATGCAATGGGTGTAGTGCACAGTCACTGAAGAACAGAGCTTGCTCTGTACCAGGAAGCAAGGTCCTCAGTTTCTCCCGGCAGCAGTACATCCCTGGCAGCTGGAAACTTCTGACAGGAAGAACAGACATCTGGCTTCTTAACCCTGGAATGTTGGGAGCTTAAGGCATAGCACAATGGGAACTGATGTGATGATCAAATGTGACAGAGACACTCCCTACAGACAATAAATACAAGGTATCTGGTAGCAGAGCAACCCTTTTGCGGTCCTGTACCTCTTCTGACCCTTTACAGAACCCATTGGCCTGGTTAAACCAGTGAAACCATCACATATCACTAATCAGATCAGTCTATATTTCCATGTCCACAGGTCTGATATCTCCAGTTTTGTGTTCTTGTACCCACAGTTCCCTGTCTTTGGCAGGCTCCACTTTTTGAAGTAACTGATCGACAGGCTCTATTGTCTAAAAAGATCAGAATGAGAAGCAAATTGTCAAAAGCACATATCAGAACAGCAGTTCCTTGCAACTGAATCAGCTGTGTCACTGTCACAGGAGTAACAGCCTCCTCTCAATTAGCTGGATCCATAAATGGGAGGTCAGACAAAATACAGGCTTTGCAGTAGGAATCATACCATTGGTGAGGCAAGTCCAGTGTATGCTGCATCCAATTCCTGGTGTGACAGTAGGGTTGCCAACTTTCTAATCACACAAAACTGAACATCCTAGCCCTGCACCTTCCCTGAGGCCACGCCCCCTTCCCTGAGGCTCTGCCCTCCGCTCACTACATTTCCCCTCCCTCGGTGGCTCACTTTTCCGCACCCTCACTCACTTTCAAAGGGCTGGGGTGCGGGAGGGGGTGAGGGCTGTAACTGGGGGTGTGGGCTCCAGAGTGGGGCCAGAAATGAGGGGTTCAGGGTGCGGGGAAGGCTCCGGGCTGGAGGTTGGGGTGCAGAAGAGGGTGAGGGCTCCATCTGGGGGTGCGGGCTCGGGGGTGGGGCTGGGTATGAGGGGTCCGGGGTGCTGGAGAGGGGTCCAGGCTGGGGGGTGGGGCAGAGCGATTTGGGGTGCAAGAGGGGATTCTGGGTTTGGGGGAGGCTCAGGCTGGGGCAGGGGGTTGGGCCTCAAGGTTGGGGCACAGGCTTACCTCCGTCGGCTCCCAGTCAGCAGCGCAGTGTGTGGGGTGGGGGGGGCTAAGGCAGGCTAATTCCTACCTGTCCTGTCTCCACGCTGCACCCTGGAAGGGGCCCCTGTGCTAGGCACTGTACAGATAGTCCCTGCCCTGAAAAGCTTACAAACTATGAACAGCCAAGACAACCAAAGGGTGGAACAAAGGGAGCACAAGTCTATTTTACAGATGGGAACTGTAGGCAGAGGGAGAGTAAGTGACTTACCCAAGGTCACTCAGAGAATCTGTGGCAGAACTAGCCCAGAATTCCTGAGTCGTAGGCCACTGCCTGAACCACAAGACTATCCTTCCACTATCTGTTTTCACTGGCTTGTTATTGTGACAAATGTCTTGCACAGGTTGAGTTTTTGGAAATGTCTGAGCAAAAATGGTTCAGGTTTTGTGAGAACAAAGTTAGTGGGGAAAAAATCTGCCAATTAAAAAAAAATCAAACCATTGCTTGAAGACCTCTAGATCTTCATGGGCTTGGGGCAGGAACTTGGAATTTCCAGGGGGATAGTCATAGGGTCAGAAAAATGTCTTACACTGGCCCCTCAAAAATCTGTCTCAATTTAGCCAAAGTTCTAAAATGTGGAAAATCACCATTTGCAGCTGAACTTCTTCAATGATTGCTCAATCTTGCCACATTGTATTGTTTTGGAGTGATTGCATGGAACTCAAGTATCAGAGGGGTAGCCATGTTAGTCTGGATCTGTAAAAGCGGCAAAGAGTCCTGTGGCACCTTATAGACTTACAGATGTATTGAAGCATATGCTTTCATGGTGAATACCCACTTCTTCAAATGCATGTAGTGGAAATTTCCAGAGGCAGGTATAAATATGCAAGCAAGAATCCCTGATTGAACTAATCTCATTATCCCTAGCCTGATTCTTGCTTGCATATTTATACCTGCCTCTGGAAATTTCTACTACATGCATCTGAAAAAGTGGGTATTCACCCACGAAAGCTTATGCTCCAGTATGTCTGTTAGTCTATAAGGTGCCACAGGACTCTTTGCCGCTTTTGCATGGAACTGTGTTTCCATATGGGTTTCAGGCAAAATCCCTGCACCTGCACATCAAAATACTCTTTGGTCTATGGCAGGAGCACCTCCTCTCTGTACTGAATGGGGAGTTAAGAATTATTTCCCATATTTTACAGATAGGATCACTGAAGACTAGAACAGTTGCTTCTGGGACAGCTTGGAATAGAACCCCAATTCCTGACCTATGCTTCTCACAAAGGAAGTTCCACATCTAAGTGTTTCATCTTGCTTTCTGTAAAATTCTGTTCTTTGCTTACCACTACAAACTCACTGATAAATGTACACATCATTTTATACAACAGCACACAGAAATCCTAATTCCCAATTGGCTGATCTAACTAGTAGATCACACTTCCCTCCAAGAGCTAGGAACAAAACCCGATTTGTAGCATTCTGCTGCTTAGCAAATAGTTGCACATGTGTTGATCCATTTTTCTTAAAACATGTGACCAGTCCCCTCCTCTTTCCCCTTCCAGGGAATTCCCAACAAAAATTATATGAAAAGAATGGTCAAACATTTGTAAAATGAAGGACTCCAATCCCAGAACTAAGGCTGCATTTGCAACCTTAATTTGGCCCCTTGTGTGTTTGCATTATGGAAAAGTCTTTAATTGCACGATCATGTACTATTATTTTCACAGGACACCTGCCTCATATGGTGCACAGGATGGATGTTAAAAGAGGCAGGGCTGTGTAGTGAATGAGGCTGTCCATAGCAGAAAATAGAAAGTATGCAGTAACTGTGGTAGTGAATTGCAGAAAGGGAAAACAGGAGCTTGTGTTTAAAGCAGTCTTCCTGGGACTTGTGAAATCTGGGTTCTTTCCTCGGCTCTGCAACAGAGTTCCTATGTGATATTAGGCATACTACTTAAAATGAAAATTTTCAGAGGTGGCCACTAATTATGTGTTCCTATTTTGTGGGTGACCAGCCCGAGACATCTGAGGCCTGATTTGCACTAGCTCAACAACTCAGAAAAACTGATCACCCAATCACTGTGGCACCCAAAATTACTGGGGACTTTTGCAATTTGAGTTTAATTTCTCTGTACCTCCTGTCCCCATTCGTAAAATGGGGATACTAATACTTCCCTGCCTTCGAGGTGTTGTAAAGGTAAATTCATGAATGTTTGTGAGACTCAGACACTATGGTGATGAGCACCACAGAAACACCGATGAAGAAATAAAAACTGAGTGTAATGTTTAGATGGTTTGTAGTAATGGAGGCACATGTTGAATGCCGAGGATAAACTACATGATCATCCAGTGAATAAAATATGTGATCACGTACTTAGAGAGTACCGTAATGCACATGCTCAAGGATCCAAATTAAGATTGCACCGGCAGCTGTAACTCTGGTATTTCCTGACTTTTAGATGCTTGACTTTTCAACCATTCTTTTAACATATTTTCTTTTGAATATTATTATCCTGGGGAGACTGGCCCTTTAAGGAGAGTCACGGCCCAGACTGCCCAGTGACTGCCTTCTTAAGGTCTATCTAGGAGTAATTCACTGTCCTAGGTGGCTGCTTAGTGGTTAATTAGTAAACAAGCACCTGGAGCTAATAAAAAAGGCTACCTGAGTTTGGTTAGGGAAGCTGCTCTCAGAAAGAGGGGCTCATGGAGAGAGGAGCAATCCCAGAGAAAAGGTTCTCCCAGGGAAAGGACAGGAGCAGCCCAGGAGAATGAACTGGGAGCCATTAGGGACTTACTCAGCAAAGAGCAGCATGGTCTGGGAAGAGTGGCAGCCAGCAGAACGCCCCGCAGAGGCCCACACCCCAGACAAGGAATTCAGTGTGCGAGTGCTCCATGGCTAAAGGACCAAGATGTAAGACTAGTTACACCCAGAAGCAGAGGGCTTCTGGTGGAGAGCTGACTGAAGATTTTGCTTATGTTTTGTGTTGTTCTTTTCTATTTCATAAAAGAGACCCATGGAAGAAGGTGCTCTGTGATTCCCAAAGGCCTGCTTGGAACTGTTTATTGCCTAGGTGAGGGGAAACCAAGGCAGGGCTCACCCACGGCACCAGGCCTGCGTGCAGTGGGGAGCACTGGGGCAACCTGCACTATGACAATTATCTCTATATGTTATGATGTATACGGCTATGATTATATGATTTCTGTAATGTGAATATATACCTCCAAATATATCACAATACACTGAATACCACGTGCATCAGAATACATACCACATATGCAAGTATTTGAAAAGGTGCCAGTTTTACAAGATTTTACATTTTCATTTTGAAATAATGGTTGCTGTGATTACCATCTTTCCTGCAACAATGAAGGACTGTGTGTGCTGCTGGGAGAGTGATAAGCATCTATCTAGGAGAGGTGTAAATTAAAGTAAGGGGCTGCTTTGCCTTATGCCTTCCTGTCAAGCACTTCTCAGCCACATCCTGCACCACAGGGCTTTCACCGCAGGGCTTTCCATTCCAGTGGACGTGCCCCTTCTGACCAGCTTCTCTGCTCTTCCATCTGTCTTACCCCCAGACTCTGGATGTCTCTGGAGATTCATGGTAGGTGCACAACCACAGACTCCCAAACTGGCACCACTTACATCTTAGTCTCCACTAGACAGTGGAATTCAGCACACTGTGTACAAGACCAGGCTTGAGTTCAGCAGAGCCTCACTACAGCTCTTGGACCAAAGGGACCTAAAGGAAGAGCAGACTCACGCTTTGGTTGAACATGTCTGTCTCGTGCCGCAGCTGTGTGTACTGGCAAAGGTGCTGCCGAATCATTTCCACCCGCTCCACCTCCAGCCTCTCCAGCTCCTGTGAGAGAAAAATAGGCCCATATCTTGATCAGTGGCTATGCCCAGAGTGCTGCATGCAGGCCCAGCATAGGGTTTTCTAATGGTCAAGGTTCCCACCACTGGCGACAGCTGGGGCAGCTACCCCAGGTCTGGGCTTCAGAGCCGGGCTGTGTGCACAGTGTCTCAGTAAGTATACTTAGTGCAAGAGCAGGAGCAGCAACAGCAGGTCTGGCCTGTGCCCAGTGCCACTGGTGGGGGAACCAGTAAGGAGACAGTGCAGCAGGGAAGGAGACTTGTGCAGTTCCTCAACAATTCTGAACCTTGCCCAAGGTGAGAGTCCTTAGAGATGGGGAAAGGCAGAAACTACAGGATCTGTGGAGGGCTGTTGCCTATGGAGGCAGGGGCAGGACAGGGACAACGAGGCCCTGTTTCCTGGCTGCAGCCCAGCTTATTGTGCTGCTAGCTCCAGAAGTTACCCTGGAAGCACTGCTCTGGAGTCCTGGCGACATGGGTTTATGCCCAGAGGGCTCATTCACTGGGGGAATGGCTATGTGTAAATTAGCTTCCCATAACTCAGCCAGCAGTGGACACAATCAAGGTTTTGTCCCTGCCTATCCTTTTCTGCCCCCACTGAGGTCAGCTGAGCCTCAGGCCACTGTGCATCTGAAGAAGTGGTTTTTTACCCACCAAAGCTTATGCCCAAATAGATCTGTTAGTCTTTAAGGTGCCACCGGACTCCTTGTTGTTTTTGTGGATATAGACTAACACAGCTCCCCCCTGATACTTGTGTCTCTTGGATTCTGATGATGTATCCAAGCCCCCTGAACGTGCCTGCTTTTTGACGCTGCTGAGAGAGTTTGGCCTGTAAGACTTGTCAGGCCAGAAAGCTGTTCTGTCAGGAAGAAAGCTCTGTCTCTTACAATGACATGCAAAGGAGCAAACTTCTGCCTTCCATCATGAGAAACAGTGTCTGCCTTCACATCACCTCCTCCCTGGGTAACCCATTCCAGAGCTTCACCACTCTCCTAGTGAAATAGTGTTTCCTAATATCCAACCTAGACCTCCCCTACTGCAACTTGAGACCATTGCTCCTTGTTCTGTCATCTGCCACCACTGAGAACAGCCTAGTTCCATCCTCTTTGGAACCCCCTTAAGGTAGTTGACATGCTCCATAGCTGGAACTGGAGCCAGAATGGAGGGCTGTTTTGGAACCAACGGCTGCCTTGATTTAGGGGGTGCCAACTTGGAAGGCATGCGTAGCTTGATGGTTGGTACTGATGGATCTGCCAACCTGTGCAATTTTTATCATGCTTTTGTGCCTTGGAACATACCACTTCTCCGGGTTGGAACTCATGGGCATCGCTCTTCTTGGGCCTGGAAGAAGACTTACTGCCATGCTTATAAGCATGCTTCCTTGCCTCCCAACTAGGCACCGGTATGGGGTCCATAGTACTGGTACTGGCAGAACGAGACTCGATCTTCCTGGTGGAGGTGTGCTCCTGGGTTTCTCAGGCCAATATACAGGGGGGTTCCCCAGGCTGGATCTGACTGAGACCTCATGGAGACCTCCACAAAATTCGTTTTGAGGCGGAGCGCACAGCCCTCTTGGGTACGGCTTGGGAAGGACAGGCAGATACTGCACCTGGATGAAATGTAGGCTTCTCCCAAACACTAGAGACAGAGTTGGCACTTGTTGTTGACCAAGAACAAATGCAGACAGGATGCACAGATCTTGAACCCTAGCATCTCTGGAATAATTCAGTACCCATTTGTGGGTGCTGGGTGGGGAGGGGGAGACTGGTGAAAAAAACGGATCCCCAAAGTCTCTTAATTCCCCAAATTAACACTAAAAACACTAAAACTACAAGTAAAAACAAGAAAAATTATGCACAATTCTAAAACTCTTTTTTAAATGCGTCAGTGAGAGATGAGGGGACACTAACAACTCTGACTTTGTCCATGGGGAGAAGGAACTGAGGGTGTGGTCAGTCCACCCCGCCCTTTATCGCCTCGGACAAAACCATGAGGCAGAGCAAGGGCACATGTGTGGACCTACAGACACTACTTTCAAATTCTTTGGTTCCGGACACATGTGCATGTGTAAACCCTCAGTGGAAAACAATAGGGACCATCACTCGAAAACGAACCAAACAATTCTTTGTGGGGAGGATCGTGTGACTGATTTGCATGTAGTTAAGGACACCTCTAAGCTGGAGCTGAAGGTATAAATTCCAGCTTGGACAGAAATACCCAAACTGGCTTTGATTGAGCTAGTGCGCTATAAAGAGCAGCGTAGCACGGGCAGTGGGACTCGCTAGCCACCCCAGTACATTTCTGCCCAGGGCCTAGGTGCAGCTAGCCCATCTTGCTGCTTGAGCTGTGGTGACTACACATCTATTTTTAGTATGCTAGGTCAATCAAAAATAGTGCATGTACATCTATCTGAGCTGGAAATGACATCTCCAGCTGCCATGTAGGCATACCCTTAAATAGAAACTTCCCTGAGGAAGTTAAATAAAGAAAATTTAAAAAAAAATCAAAATCTAAGTATGGGTTTCATTTGGAACTGAACTGCATTTCGGTCAAGAGTCTTTATGTGTATGAAGATACAGCCTTATGGGGACATTTCTCAACCTACTTTGATTTAAAACAAATCTTTCATGTTGCTTGTTGGGCAGTGGCCTCTGTCTGCTGCTGCAGGACTTGTGAGCTCTATCAACTCCCCAGGAATGAGAATCCTGCTCCTTTACACCAGTACACAGCAAGAGTCATTGCGCCATGGATGTCAATGGATTTGCCCCAGTGTAAATGAGAGAAGAATCAATCCAGCCCCACAGTAGGAGAGACAGATAATTACTTACCGTCAGTCATTCTGCTTCTCTGAAGAGATCACCTCTCAGGATTTTCACTCACCCACCTGCCTCCCCTGGGAGTTAATGGACTTTGAGTGTTGAATGCTGGGTCTGCCCAATGGGCACACAGTTCTGAACTGCCCAGAGCTGATCTAGAATGGCTCATTCCTTTGTATTTGTTTGAAGAAAAAAATGGGTTACTTTTTAATTGCCTGTCAGGAGAGCTCCAACTTCCCATTCTTAAAACGAACCGGCTGCAATCTTTAAAGCCCCTGAGGTACCGCTGTTTGGAGCATGCCCACAGGGAGCTTGTGAGGTTGACTGGAGAAGAGCCCTGCAGCCCACTTACAGGTGCTTCAGAAGGTCTTAAATTACTCCTTGGGGAATCATGCACCACTGTGCAATGCAGAATTTTGCAGAAATTAACATTGTGCGCACAGAATTTCCTTTCCCCCACAGAAATGGGCTGCAGTGCTGCTAGCCACCACTAGGGGCCGCTGGACCCAGCAGAGCCCAGATTGCAGACAGAAGACACTACTGAGGAGCTAGAGAGTTCCTGGCCGCTGCAGTTCCCAGCATGCCCTGAGGGAAGGAGAGGGCGGTGCACAGGAAACTCCATGCAAGCCTGGGATGGAGCATCAGAATGTTACTCCCTCTGGATCCCTGGGCTCTGGAGGGAGGTTGTGGGTATCTGGGCCAGGGGGGCCCCGGGGCTGAGCTCTGGGGTGGGGAAGGGGAGTTGTGAGTGTTTGCCCCCCTGGCTGGGCTCAGGCGGGAGGGGGGAAGGGGGCAGAGAAACAGGAACTGGGTTGTCATAGGGGTTTCTTTAACTCTCTACTCCTGGGGGAATTTTTGTGTGTCTGTATTGTTACAGGTTTCAGAGGAACAGCCGTGTTAGTCTGTATTCGCAAAAAGAAAAGGAGTACTTGTGGCACCTTAGAGACTAACCAATTTATTTGAGCATGAGCTTTCGTGAGCTACAGCTCACTTCATCAGATGTTTACCGTGGAAACTGTATATAAAGTCTGCTGCAGTTTCCACGGTAAACATCTGATGAAGTGAGCTGTAGCTCACGAAAGCTCATGCTCAAATAAATTGGTTAGTCTCTAAGGTGCCACAAGTACTCCTTTTCTTGTATTGTTACAGACATACTTGCTGAATTTTGAAGTAAATTACCAAACTAATTGAAACTGGCATCATTATGTAGTGTTATTTTGACAAGTAAAATTTGCAGAATTCTGCAGAATTTTAAAATATTGTGCACTGAATTTTTATTTTTTTGGCACAGAATGCCCCCAGCAGTATTAAATACATAAATGCCAGGACATTTCCCACATGAGTAACCCCGGAAGTATGAGCCCCAAGAACGAGAGTTCTGTGATATGATGCCTTCAGAGAAGCAGAATTACCAGCAATTATCTCACTCTATGTGCTAAATTGCAAAACCATGGGATAAAAAATGATTGCAAACCTTACTAATTTATAAATGTATTCACAATTTAGCACGAATCTTTTACTGCTCTGCCCTCTTCCCACTACCCCAATTTTCATGGCCTGCTTCCACCATTCCTAACACCTGAGCAGCTTCAAACTACTGCCCCTTTATACTCATACTGTGAGGAAAATGTTTTCTTTTTTCTCCCCAAATGACATTATGCTTAATTTCCTGAATGAGCAACATAGTGGCAGGTTAAAGTCTGTTATCTCTTCTGTATTGTGGCTGCAAATGGAGAGATACTAGGGTGACCAACATGAATAGATTATCTTGAAGGGCTTTCATCACAAGGAGAAATAAATAAAAGAGCAGTATTAGAAACACAAAGTGCTACGCACTGATACATACCAGAGTGCTGGTCACCATTTCTTCAAACCACTTGGATTGGGCTTGATTATAAAGATCCACACAACGCATCAGGTCATCTCCTGGAAAGATCAAGATAGCAGTAAGTCATCCTCCTAGTCCTTGTAAAGGAGCGGAGTAGGAAGTGACAGGTTACTTTTCATTTATAGTCATATATTTGAAGGCCATTAGGTCACCTAGTTTGACCCCCTACATAGAACAGCCATAATTTCTGGTTGAACTAGAGCACATCTGTATTACATTTGTTATGTGCAAACAGAAAACAATCCCACCATATACTCTGTGCTAGAAAAGGGCCAGTTGGCCAGTTTTCCAAAGCTGAAAACATTTATTAGAAAAAACTAATGGGGGGGGAGAGGATTTACACATAAAAATGTGAACAATAATTGGGACTCCTTTAAAAACATTTTACTAGAAGCCCAAAAAGCCACAATTCTGCCATCATGAAAGAAGGCAACTTCAGTTAAAAATACATCCTGGTTAAGATGAAAAGTGAAAGCAGCAATAAAAAGTTTAAAAACAGCAACTTATGACAAACTGAAACTAGGAAAACTTGAAAACGATGAATTCTGGACCTGCCTGGTAGCAACTCCACAGTTAAGACTGCATTTGAAAATGGGTTTAACATGGGGTATAAACCCTGTTTTGTGCTGAAACTAGATGGCCATGGAATTTTAAAAATATATCAGGAAGAAATGGTTACTTACTGTAACTGTGGTTCTTCGAGATGTGATATGGCCGTGTATTCCACTCAGGTGTGTGCATGCTCAGAGCATCTGGAGCCAGAGAACTGTACCTAGCAATACCTGTAGAAGGGCGGCATTCGTACCTCACGGCCATAGCCTGTCCCCTGGGCATATGAGGCAGCACCGATATGACCCCCCTCAGTTCCTTCACACCGAACGCCCAGAGACGAAACTCTGATGCAGAGGTAGTGGAGGGTGGGTCGTGGAATACATGTCTGCATCACATTTCGAAGAAATACAATTACAGTAAGTAACGGTTTCTCCTTCTTTGAATAGGTGCAGCTGTGTATTTTATTTAGGTGATTCACAAGCAGTACCCCCAGGGGTGGGGCTCAGAGTCTATTTAAACAGATTGCAGGACCACTTTCTCAAAGTTTGCATCTACTCTGGATGCCACAGTAATGGCATAATGGTTCGTAAATGTACGTCTGTATCAACAACCATGCAGCAGCCCTGTAAATATCCAATATTGAGACATCACTTAAGAACGCTAGTGATGTAGCCTGTGCTCTCGCAGAATGGGCTTGGACCTGCTGAGGGGACACAGCTGAAGGTGTTTCATATGCAGTCTTGATGCAGGGAGTTCTCCACTTAAAGAATTTGTCTGAGAGGAGATTGCCTGTCCTTTCATACAGTCTGCATCCGACACAAACAGATGAGGTGAAGCATGGAAGAGTTTAGTCCTGTCCAGGTAGAAGGTCAGACATTGTCTGACATCTAATGTGTGAGGACTGCTCCTCCAGGAATGAATGCGGCTTAGAAAAAAAACCCAGGCAAACATACCACCTTGTTCAAATGAAACAGAGATCACACTGGTAAAAACTTTGGGTGTGGTCATAAAGTTACTGTGTCGGTGGAGATGTGTGAGAATTCCGTATACACCCTCCTTGCAGACATAATGGCTATCAGGAATGTGGTTTTCTGAGACAAAAAGGGCAGTGGACAGGACATCAGGGGCTTGAATGGAGGGCTTAGTAAAGCTGCCAGACCCATGTTTAGATTCCACAAGGGAACAGGCTCTAAGACTGGAGAACGTAAACGGAGAAGTCCTTTTAGAAATCTTGTTGCCATAGCATTAGAAAAAATTGATTTTCCCTGAATAGGGGAGTGAAACTCTGATATCGCTGCCAGAGGCTCTCTCAGTGAACTGAGCACAAGACCCAGTTTCTGAAGAAATAGCAGGTACTCCAAGTTGTCCTGGATAGAAGATTGCATCAGTTACATCCCGCAGGCCAAGGACCACACCGAAAACCTCTTCTACTTCGTTACATAGGCCATCCTAGTAAAGGGCTTCCTACTATTAAGTAGGACTTGCTGAACTGCTGACAAGCACTGCTCTTCCTCTTCATCCAGTCATGCTGCAGCCATGCCGTAAAGTGCAGGGAGCTGAGCACAAGATGGAGGGTGGGGCTCTGGTTCTGAGTGGGCAAGTTGGGATAGGGAGGAAGAGGTACGGGAGGCTGAACCAACAGCGCAAGAAGGTCCAAGAAACAGCACTGTTTCAGCCATGCTGGAGCAATGAGGATGAGCTTGGTCCAATCCGCCTTGAACTTGAGGATGACCTGAGGAATGATCGGTACGGGGGGATGTTAGGATATAGATATTCAGGCCTGTCAGTAAAAGCCTATACTCTATGAATTTAGGTGTATTCTTATCACTTGGCTAGTTAGAGGTATAAAAGAAAGAATCAAAGTCACTGTCTGCCAGTGTAAAGTCCTTCTCTTACTGTGACAGTCTGAGGCCCTGTTCTTAGGCTAAGGCCTTTGGCTAAGCAACAGAGGCAGCCATAAGCTGGGAAGCGAACGGTCACATCCTCACATTCCAACCTAGTCACATTGAAAGAAGGTGCTATTGGGCTGTTAGGAATACAATCCTGTCCTGATAGTGCCTATCGCCTCCAGAGAAAGGGAAGTGCCTAGAAGATGTAAAAGGAAACTTAGTTTGATAGCATCCTGTCTGGCAAGAACTCACTTATCAATAGCTGCGATGTGAAATCCTCACTTCTGTATTATTTTGTCATTATAGTTACCACTTTGCTATTGTTTGTCTTTATAATCTCTGTCTGGTTCTGTGAGTGTTCCTGTCTGCTCTATAATTAATTTTGCTGGGTGTAAACTAATTAAGGTGGTGGGATATAATTGGTTACATAATTATGTTACAATATATTAGGATTGGTTACTTAAATTTCAGGAAAATGATTGGTTAAGGTATAGCTAAGCAGAACTCAAGTTTTACTATATAGTCTGCAGTCAATCAGGAAGTGGGTGGGTGTGTAGGTGGGGAAATTGGAATCAAGTTTTGCTAAAGGGGGAAATGGGAACAGGGAATGGGGAGGGGGAAATTGGAATCATATTTAGCTAAAGGGGGAAATGGGGACAGGGACACAGGTAAGCCTCTGTGGTGTCAGAGCTAGGAAGGGGGAACTAAGGAAGGAAACTGGAATCATGCTTGCTGGAAGTTCCCCCCCAATAAACATCGAATTGTTTGCACCTTTGGACTTTGGGTATTGTTGCTCTCTGTTCATGCAAGAAGGACCAGGGAAGTAAGTGGGTGAAGGAATAAGCCCCCTAACAGGGGAAGGCATATGGAAGAGTTGACTGCCAGCTACAGTGGAAGACATTGGAGAGGGAGCCTGGGCTGAGACCCCCCTGAGAGCAGAATAGGCGACACTTCCTTTTTTCCCTAGTTGCAAACAGGTCGATCGTAGGAATGCTCCACACTGAGAAGACGACCCAGAGGATGCTGTCCTTCAGGGACCGCTCATGACTCATGGAGAAAATCCCACTGACATGCTCCACGAAATGATTCTGCTCCCTGGGCAAGTGGAGAGCTATCCAATTGTTGATGCAGAATTGCCACAGGGTGTTGCCTCTAGGCAGAATAATATGGACTGTGCTCCCCTTGTTTGTTTACATAGCACATCATGGTGGTATTGTTGGTGAGTATGTGAGCCACTGAGTGTTTGATAGGGTCCCAGAAGACATGGCATGCCTTGGGAATGGCCTAAAGCTCCAGCACACTGATACAGCCCAATGGTTCCTATTCCGACCACAGGCCCTGCACCCTCAACGAATCCAGTTGCACCCCCCCAACCCAGAAGGGGAGTATCAATAACCACTGACTTGGTTGGAGAAGGCCGAGCAAAGGCAACAGTCTCGCAAACATTGCATGGGCACGTTCACCACTGTAAGGAGTCCAGGACTAGTGGGGGAGCCCAGGTTGACTTTCCAGTGTTTAAACCAAGACGCAGATGGTTGAGCAAATGCAATGTGGTGTTGATGTGGGCAAGAACTTCCTCTCTGGAGACACCCCTTAGTTGCCAGTCATCAAGTTATGGGAAGATGTGGATTCCTTTCCTCCTAACATATCCCATAATCACAGTCAGGCATTTGGTGAATATTTGGGGATCGGAAGAGTGGCTGAATGGGCAAATCATATACTGAAAGTGGCATTCTCCTATAATGAAATGAAGAAGCTTCCTGTGGCTCTGCAGAATCACCACATACAAGTACATGTCCTGAAGGTTCAGAGCAGTGAACCAGCCAATCTGAGACAATGTGGGAAGGATAGTCAACAGAGTGACCATTTGGAACCTCACTTATCTGATAAATTTATTGAGGCTGCAAAGGTTGAGGATGGGTCTCATCCCACCCTTGCATTTGGTCACCTTTGCATCAGGAAGTGCTGGGAGTAGAGGCTGTGAAGTGGAACTTCCTCCACTGCTCCCATTGCCAGCAGAGAGTTGACCTGCTCAATGAGCAGTGTCTCATGAGAGCGGTCCCTGAAGAGGCACAGGGAGCGAGAGTGGGGAGGAGGGATGGAGAGGAACTGGATGGCATAATATGATAGTGTCTAGGACCCTGTTGCCAGAAATAATCGATCCCCAAGCATTGTAAAAGCCACCCTGTCCCCAAAGGGGCAGGAGAAAGAAGAGGGAAGAGCAACAACTGGACCAGTGCTCTGGACCAAGGAGTCAAAATGGGCATGTAAAGGGCACCACAGGAGGGTGCAGGGCCTCGCCAAACCCCAAATGTAACTGCTTCCTCTTGTGAGATCTCTCTTTCTGGGGTAGTCCCAGTGTTTCGGGGGAAGGGATGCCCAAAGCAGTCCTGTGGGCGATACTGCTGCTGCTGAGTACCACAGTGGCACCTCTGTGTTGATGGTGTGTACACCCCCAAGGACCTCCAGGTCACTCTGGAGTCCTTAAAGGAGTGCAATCGGTCATTGATCTGGTTGCAGAACAAGGTCCGGCTGCCAAAAGGCAAGTCCTCAATGGCTTGCTAGACATCAGGAGTGATTCCAGAGTTTTCCAGCCA